GGGTTGAAAAGTAATCACAGAGCGCCTTTCTCCCTCAGCGCACGTACCGACACTTCCAAGCACGTGTGACACGTGGGAATCCTGTCACCAGCACTGAGGTGGGGTGAGAGAAACCTCAGGAGAAAACCGTAGAGACGGGGGACGGACACACGAACCGCACGTCCCAGTCTTCCACTGAGCTGCATCTGGGGAACGAGACTCAGCTTGTCAGTCAATAACAAAAACATTTGTGTTGTCCAGCTATTCTGCTTTCAGCAATTTATGGGAAGGAAATAGGACAGATGCGGTTATAATTTGTGTCAGGAGTGTTTTTAACAACAGACTTTAAAAAATAACCCTTAAGTATCCAACAACAAACCTAGGCGAGAAAATTGCAGGGCCAGCACCATGCTGGGCGGGAGTCCAGGGATTAACAGGCAAGCGCTTTTGATACGGTCAGCGCTTTCCAGAGGAGCCTCAATATGGCTTTTCACAGTAGCTGTACTAATCGACACTGCCACTAACCATGCATGAGTTTCCCTTCCTTCAACTCCCCCGGGGTTCAAGTCTCCCCAAGGAAAGAATTAGTGGATCAGGCAGTAACTGCTTCACTTTTGAACAGCAGTCCAACTTTTCCCAAACAGACACCTTTTACAACCCACAGGCAAGGTAAGGGCTTCAGTGTCTCCACGCAGGCCGGGCGGCCAAGCTGGTGTGAAGGGCACCTCATGTTGTAGATCTGTATTTTTCTTAATGGCCAACAGTGCTGAACACTCTCACGGGCTTTTGAGCTATTTGTGAGTCATCTTTACAGCGCTGTCTACCCAACTCTGGTGCCACGTTTAAACTGGGTTGACTTGTAAGAGTCCCCTGTGTATTTTGGATTCTAAATCCTTATCAGGTATGTGACCTGCATGTTTTCTCCGACTCCATGGGACACCACCTTCTCAATAGTGTCCTTTGATCCCAAGTTTTTTAAGCTGAAGTATCAATTTGCTTATTTTTCTCATGGATGCTTATGTCTTTGTTACACTAAGAAATCAGTGCCTAATCTAGGGTCAACAAAACGCATACCTGCTCCTTCTAAGAGGCTTATCATTTTCACTCTTATATTTACATCTTTGATTCTTTCTAAGGATTAATGATGGGTCTTCTTTCTTTTGAACGTACCTATTGTTTAGCAATATCTGTTCAAAAGACCGTTGTTTCCCCCATTGGTCTTGACATCTCTGCCCAAGGCCAACTGACCCCAAATACATGAGAGTCTTAACCCTCTCAATTTCATTCTTATATCAGCACCATACTACTGGCCTAGCTTTGTAAAAAGCTGTCTGATCAGGAGATAGGCGTCCTCCAACTCTCTTCCTGTCAAAGGATATATTGACTACTCTGTGTCCTTTGAATTTCCAAATGAACTTATGACTACACTGCCCATTTCTGAAAAAAAAAAAAAAACAGTTGCAATTTTGATAGGGACTGCACTTAACCTATAGCTCAACTGCACAGTATTGCTACTTAACACAACTAACTTACAATCAGCTGTGTGCGGTGGTGCACACCTGTAATCGCAGTACTGGGGAGGCTGAGGCAGGAGGATCACGAATCTGAGGCCAGCCTGGGCCACACCGGGAGACCCTCTCTCAAAAAACACAAAGTGAACAATCTGTGAACACGTATGAAATGCTTTTTCATTTATTTGTTCTCTCACTTCCTCCACAATGCTTTGTTCCCTCCAGTGTGCTGCTCTGAGCTTGCTGGGGTGGAGGCATCCTATTGCATTGTCATGCTATTGTAAAGGGAAGCGTCTAACGTGTCAGATCATTCACACCTACCGTACGGAAATGCAGATTTTTGACCTTACGTCCTGCCCTCCCACCCCCCGCTGAGCTTATCAGCCCTCACTTTGTTTGATGGTTCATGTTAACCCCAAATACTTAGTCTTTACTTCTTCCTTTCCCATATGGGTGCCCTTTGCCAAAGCCTACGATGCTGAGCAGAAGTGACCATCCTCATCGTTACCAAGCTTAGAGGGAAAGCTTTCAGTCCTTCACCACTGAGTACCTGACTTTGGGTTTTCAGATACTCTCTCAGGTGGAGGATGTCCCCTTTATTCTTTCTTGCTTACAGTCACCCTTGAGAGAGTTGCTTTTTGACATATGGCTGGCCTGTGCCCACTGAGGTTGCCACGTTGCTTCCTCTTCAAGCTACTAACGTGGCAGGCTATGTATACACATTCCTGTGTAGGACACAGAACTTACAGTGAAACACTGACTTTCACATGCTGACTAACCGCGCCTCCTGAAACCCTCTTGGTCATGGGGTAATCTTTTTTACAAGTGGCCAGGGTTTGTTGAGGACTGCTGCTCTGCATTCATGAGGGATACTAGTCGGTGGCTTCCACTGGTGTTTCTATCTGGATGTGGTACACAGGATTACCCAGAATGCTAAGAGCTCTCTATTTTCGGAAAGAGTTCGAGAAGGACTGGTTGATTCTTGTTTAACTATTGGACAGAACTCAACATGAAGACATCTTGTCCTGAGATTTCCTTTATTGGAACTTTTCTAATTAGTCACTCAATTTTTGATATAGGTCTGGATTTTCAACTTGAGTCAGTTTGGGTAGTTCACGAGTTTCTAGGAATTTGTCCACTTCATCTAGGTTTAGTAATTTGCTAGCAGACAATTATTAGTATTCCTTAATTCTTCCTCTTTTGGGAAGATTGGTAGTAATGTTCCATCTTTCACTCTTGAGGGTAGCAATTTGAGACAGTTTAGCCAAAGGCTTGTAAACTTTGTGCTTTTTAAAGAGTAAACTTTGTTGATAGTCTTAACTTCTTATTCTGTATTTCAGATTTCTGATCACTGCATTTCATTTAGTGCTAGGAAGTGAACACAGGGCACCATGCATGCTAAGCGCATGCTCTACACTGAGCTGCACCCCAAGTCTCTACCGCTGAGCTTCCCCACAGGGGAAGCTGAGCTTTACCCTTGCAGCCCACAGGTTGGTTTCATTCCTCTCAAAGTACATTCTTACTTCCCCAGGACTTCATCTTCAACCCACTGGTTCTGCAATTTCTACTGTTAATGCAATTGCCCAGTCTCTGTTACTAGCTTCTAGCTTCACTCTACTGCGGCCGGTCAGAGAGCATACTCTGTATGACTTCAATCACTTCATTGAGACCTTCCCTGGGAGCTTACAGAAAAGGCTTGTCTTTTATCTTTTTGGCAGAAATGAGGTTTGAACTCAGGACTTCATGCTTGCTAGGAGGGCACTCTACTGTTTGAGCCATGCCTCCAGCCCTGGAAAAGGCTTTCTAATCAAAGAAAAGCACAAGAAATTCACCTTTCTATTAAAGTGATACCTGGAAACACGGCCTCTATCCAGTAACCACAGAGGAGTCAACATAAGGAGAGTGTGATGTCACAGAGAGCAGAACAGAAGGACCTGGGCTAACCTGCTCCCAAGTTACCCACCCGGAAACCCTCCCTACCACTGGACCTGTTCTAAGAAAAACTAAATCCCCAAATTAAGCTAGTCTGTATTAAATTTCCTATTTCAAACTAAATTCTTATTAAGTATTTCTCAATATGATCAAAATAATGAGCTTAACTTCTGTGTTTTAATATTTTATTCAAAAGACTTGTTTCAAACATCTGTAAAACATCCACCAACTTTTCACATTATAAATTTAACTTCTCTGAGTGGCAGAAGAAAAGGACATGGAAGAGGATGTGTACAGTACATCTCAGGGTAGGAGACCAAACGCCCGGCACAAAACAAACACACGCATCTAACTCATCAGGCATGTCTGATTTATTTTCTTTTAGGTAATGTTTTTTGGAAAATTACATTTTCAAAGAATCAGCCCTTACAAACAGATAATCTTTCCAAAAATAAAATCCAGTATCTAGACTCCTAAAACTTACACAGGCAGATGGTAATGTCTGACGGTCGGCCAGGAGTGTCATGCTCAAGCAAGTTTCACGTCACACACGGTTAGCCACAGCTAATTTCAGCAGCAAATCCAAGCCCTACAGAGCACTGCAGACCACAGGTGCTGCTCTCGGCTGGGCTGACAACTGTGTTATTGCTAAAGTATACATGTTTTCTTTGGCAACTTTATCAATTTAACACCACAGGACAACTATAAAGGTTTGGGTTAACTCAGTACTTAAATTATCATTATAATTATTTGAATGTAATTTCTAAGATGCTAGAATAAGAAAGCCTTCCAAAACGTGCCTAATCCCCAAAAACCCACAAAATCTGTGCTAAATGTCACTACAAAAAGCTTTTTCAGTTTTATACACAAGTTCGTAATTCAACTCAACTTCACCACTGAAAACATTACAAAGTTAGATCCAATTCCCCACCATATCTTCTGTGATAAACGGAAAAAAACAACATCTGGGTAACCTGCCAACTTTTCTGAAAGGCTGCTTCATATTAAATTCAAAAATGGCTAAAGGTAGCCAAAACTTAATAGGAATTTTCACTGAAATACTTAAAACTTATACTTAAAATACTGGTAGCTTACTAATTTTTAATTTTTTGTTCCATGGAATAATCCTATTATTTTGGAGGCTTGGAGCAATGTGAACCAAGAAATTTAAAACAGGAAGCTCCAAGCTACAAGTTTAACTAAAAAATCTTTTCTCTCTATATAAAGAAATCCCCAACTTAAATGCTTCCACTAAAAAATTACACTCCAGAATTCACTATAGTAAATTAAAACAAGTATGACAGAAAGTGCGAAATATATCTCATGTCAACACATAAGCAACAAAAGGTCCAGCCAGCAAAAAGTTCAATTGTTGCATACACTGCAGCACTCGTGTGCACGCTTTCAGAACAGTGAGAGTGACTCATCCGGGTAATTTTATATACAGCTGTGTAGTTTAAAACAGTATAACTAAAAACATGTCTATGCAAAAGCCACCATGAAGTCCAATGAAGCACTAAGTAACAGTCTCACGAGCGGGTCTGAGTTCTTAGCAGAACAGCTGCCTGGCTTGTGCTCTAAGAGACCGCCCTCTTCCTGATCGATCATTTCTGTTTTAAATGAAAACACGATCTGCCAGCATATGTTTTGGAATCTCTGAGCCCCGGACTTTGAGGGCATAACAAGCATTCTCTACTTTGGCCAGACTCTGTTTCAACGTGTACAGCTTCTTGGAAACCTCGTAAGGCCCCGTGTTGCCAATGAATGAGAACCCATCATACACCTGGCGTAAAAACTGGCTCACTTCAAAGGGGGTGTCGATGTCCCCGTTCCCCACACTGTTAATACACATACGCATCAATTCTCCTGTTAAATCTGCCACTCCCAGCAGGTAATCGACAGGCGTGACTTTCAGCCTCCATGTAACAAGCTGCTTCTCCTGGGCATCAGAGGAGGGCTGGTAAAAAACAAAGCAGAAAGCAACACACACAGTACGGTGAGTTAAGTGCCACAATTCTCGTCGAGTGCAAAATCAACAGCAGGTCAGGTGGACTCATCTTTGCCCATACTTTTAAAGGCTAATACTGCCACTGTAAAACTATTTCCAACTTTGCATGACAATAAAAGTAACATTCTTAAACAAGGCATGCCAATCACTATTTAAATGACAATTATAAATAGCTGGTGATCCAGTCCTGTTTTTGTAGGCCATCTAGCTGGCGTCTTTCCCTACTCAGCACTGACCTCAGGACTTGTTCCTCCCTGGCTGCTGCATCCTCAGTTTTTAGAATCCCACAGTTCCCACTGCACAGGCCCAACAAACACAACCCAAGTCGACACTAAAATCTGCTTAGTCCTTGTGAGGTGGCTGAGTGACACTGAGTTAAAAAGCAGCCATCACAACTGTGTTTGTTCTGTTGTGAGTTACTACCAAACCTTTAGTTACTCTTCGCAGTTTTCTCGGAAGCTTCTTTCAACACTACTCCAAGGTCCAGCACTCTCAGTGCCCCTCCCTCTCCATCCCAAACCTCTTCTGTGTCAGGAGACAACCCTGCCTATTTGACAGGCCTGGTCATTTGCCAGGGACTGCACAGCCTCTCTGAACCACCTTTATCCCTTACCATGAGAACCTTTACATCCACACCCATCACCTTCTATCCTGTCTCGTGTTTGAGGTTAACTCTTCTAAACGGCCTTGACCTATCTCCTCCCACTTCTTCCAGTATGCTGCTTCACAAGGGGAGTGCCCTTGAGCAAGTCACTTCATCTCTCCAAACCTCAGCTTCCTGGTCTGTAAGTGGTAACTACCCACCCGGAGGTTTGTTTAATGGATCAGCCAATGCAGCAGTGACCCAGTTTGTGGCATAATGCCAACACAAGTGTACACTCCATCAGGTGAGCTGCCATCACCATCGCGGAAGTCTCTCTCCACAGGGCTCTTTGTAGTAGAGGGGACACCATACTGTCACAAACTCACATGGGACTGAGCTAGGTGAAACTGCAATCACATCAGAGGACATGGTGGGCAGCAGGAACTGCAGAGACATGCAGATAAGGACTGTGTGTAGTGAAGAGATGGCAAGCTATTTCCTTAAGTAAAGAGTAGTACAGATTGAGACTAGGAAGACAGACCAGGGCAGAATGCCACACTGTGGGAACGGGAACTTTACTTACATAGATATCGGAGTCTCTGAAAATTAAATAAGGAAATGGCCAAGTTGAACTTTGCAGATCTCACTCGAGTATCACTGGGAGATGCCTCTCCCACAGAGCATAAGAAATGAGGTTCAGCGGAGCACTGGTAACACAAGCCTGTAATACTGGCTACTCAGGAGGCAGAGGTCAGGAGGATCACTGTTTAAGGCCAGCCCAGGAAAGTAATTCTGGAAACCCTATCTTGAAAATACCCAACACAAAAAAGGGCTGGTAGAATGGCTTGAGTGCTAGAGCGCCTGCCTAGCCAGCATGAAGCTCTAAGTTCAAACCCCAGTAACAAGAAAGAAAAGAAAAAAAGAGAAAGGAATGAGGTCTAAGAGCAGCATAGATAGCCAGCTGGTCAGTGTCAGAAATGGGAAAGGTGCAAGCTTGCCTCTCAATCATTCTGATGCCTTTTAAATTACATCACAGAAGTATCTGCTTTGTTTCTATGACTATCAGACTGCCATTTCTTAGGAGGGAAGACTGTGGCTGTGTGGAGAATGCGTTTCACAGGCTATTTATAAATGTACACTTCAGAAAATATCAATACTCTTTCTTTCTCATATTACACAGAAAGAGTCCCATGATTACAAGTCAGCTGATTTTAGAGAAACACGCATATTTAAAAATTAACAAATTTCAACCAATAAACTGTCAGGTTCTGCTTTCTAAAAATTATCAGTAAGGAAAAGAAATTTACTTCAAGTACAATTTTTCAAGATGAGCACTAAAGTATTTAGGCATGAAATTCCATAACATCCTTAATTTACTTTAAAATGTTTCAGCCAAAAATAGTCAGATAATGCAAACATGACAAAATGCTAACTGACAGTTACTGAATCCAGGCAGTGGGTAAATGAACACTCACTTTCTCTACTTTTCTGGTGTGTTTGAAATTTCTCATTTAAAAAAATGAAAAACAAAACAAAAAACTTGGGACTTAAGTGTAGTGGTTTTGACAATGTTCTCATTAAGAGCAAACTTCCTTCCCTGATCAAATTCCCACAATCTTCAGCACCAAGTCTGAACGCTGAAGGGAAAATTATCTATGAACACGGTCTTAACAGTTTAGAACGAGTATATGAGTCCTACAGTACTGTAATTTAATTAACCCTACACCCTGACATACAGCAGTACATTTCCAGCTGCCTTGGTTTTTGTTGTGGTTTAGCACGAGCTGGAAAGGCAACCTCCCCAATGTTATGAAGAAGCAGCATCAAAGGGCTTACCTTACCACTGGCTACAACTCAGGGCTCATCAGAGAGACCAGCAGTATGAAGGAATTCCACTTCCCAGAATGATGTTTGTTCTTAATAAACTTCACATGGCTTAAAAAGTTGAGAAAAATGCATGGCTTTCTTAAAGTAAGCTTATCTGCCATAGACTCATTGGCAAAAGTAACATCCTGACTGATATTCATCTCCTACCTACACCTATCATGACTCTCTGAGTGGTATTTAAAAAGTAATCATAAAAGGAAAAATAAATTTTGGGACTGATTACAGAAGGGATCAAACATTCAGAATGGCCACCTTGTTGCCTGAATGTTGTATCTTGAAACCCAGCAGGCAAAATAGTATTTGCTTAAAAGCCAAACTGCAAGTTTCTTCCCTTGGTTCAGAAGAGGTACAAGCATTTTGACTTGAGTCTTTGCAACAATAAACTATTGCACACTGAAGGTCAAGTGCATCCTGTGTCTGACTAGAAACTTTCCCAAATCAAATCCTGTCAAACAGCCCTTTGAGGTAGAAACCCATGCCTGGATCCCTAGGGCACACTCTAAGAAGCACTGGCAGGATGGACAGGTCAGAGGCCTGGGTTCAAACCTCTGCTCTGTGCACTTGCTCATGTGGCTTCTAAAAACCTGTTTCCCCTCTGTAAATAGGGTTAACAGCAGATTAAATGGTAGTGCTCATGATATGCTAGATAAGAGTACTACTTTCTCCATCACACTTCTGTCCCTAAGTAAAATATTTAAAAGACTATGAAACTAGAAAGAACATCCTCACCAGGTGCGGTGGCTCACTCCTACAATCCCAGCTACTTGAGAAGCAGAGATCGAGAGGATCATAGTTTGACACAAGCCTAGGCAAAAACGTGGAGACACTACCTGTTAACTAAATAAAAATGGGGGGGGGCAGGGCAAGAGGTAGAGCACCTGATAGCAAGTGTGAGACCATGAGTTCAAAACCCCGATCCCACCAAAACAAAAGAACATTCCCATCCCAACTGCTGAACACTCATCAACCTCCTACACTCATTATGCTGTTATATAAATTATGCAAAAAAAGTGAAATTTTAAATTCTCACAGTCTTGTTTTCTTTCCCACTGTCTTCTGTTGTAAATATCAACTGTTTATTAATTTCTTCCATACTGATTAAAGACCGTGTTTTGATGAAGTGTTGAAAGGAGACCGCCTCCACATATTCCTGTAGTCCTGAAAAAGTAAGAAAGAGAATCGCTAAGAACGTGCATTATGTTCCTGGAACTACTCCTGAGACCGCAGCAGGTGAGGTGGTGCACACACGGTCTCCATGCCTTTGTCCCAGGACTCAGTGACACAGCCAAGCCCTGGTCATCTCAGCTTGACAATATGAGCCCAACTAGGCTCACATCTGTGCAGTTCACTACTATGTACCTTGCACATCACAGGCACAAAAACAGGATTAAATGAGACATCCACTTTTAAATATAGTAAGTAAAAATTATGTTTCGGGAATTTGTTTTGTCTATGGGGCTGGGTTTGAACTCAGGGCTTTGCACTTGTGAAGCGGGTGCTCTACCACACCTTAAGCCACACCTCCAGTCCACTTTGGTCAGTTATTTTGTCTCAGGAAGTATTTCCCTGGACAGGCCTCAAACCTTGATCCTCCTGATCTCTGCCTCCCAAGTAGCTAGGATTGTAGACATGAGCCACCAGCACCCAGCTGGAAAAATATTTTGATAAATAGGATAATGCCTATTGTGGAAAAACACAGAATATAATGGGCACAGTTTCCAGTACCAAAAAGGTTCTGGAGGTGATGCCACACACCAAAGCAGGCACGCTCAATGCTAACTGATGCTTAGGAGGGTCTGAATGGTGAAGCCTGCGCTCTGTATGAGGTGCCAGAGCACGCAAGCATTCACAGCTGCCAAGTCCCCAGCACCTCTGCGCTTGCTACTTCTTCTAAGTTCTGGTATGCTGTATATGTATTTCAAATATAATCTCTCTCGTACAGCAGAAAAGTTCAAAAACCGTTTGTCTAAAACCACTGGGCTGGCAGAGGGGCTCAAGTGGTAAAGCACCTGTCTAGCAAGTACAAGGCCCTGAGTTCAAACCCCAGAACTAACAACAATCAAACTACTGCCAAACGTACCATTTCATGAGTCAAGTTTGTACTGTTCAGCCTTCTCACGGTGGCATGTTTTACAAAACAGCATTCATTTCTGACCGCACTTGGTAGAACAAGGTGAACCCTCCTCCCAGCTGTTTATCCTATTTGTTGTTACTCTTATTTCATATACAGCTGCTGTGCAATAGGGCCGCAAACACTTCAGCAACAGGAATTGCAGCCTTTCACGCTGCACAGAAGAAGCAAATGCCATCCTTGTTCGGCTGCCAGGTAACTTGGCTTCATTAAGATGGATTGAAAGCAATTTCAGTGGAAGAACAGCTCCGAACACTGCAAATCTGAAAAGCACCCTGGAGACCACGGCACCATGGACCTACCACTCCACTTTACCACTGAGGTCCAGCCTAGAAGTTGGTGTAACTGCTGACTTTTCTAACTATAAATAATTTTTAAAAATATATCCACTAAAACCATTTCCCACACTTTGATCCATGTAGATAAAACACATTTTTACAACACATGAATATGGACAATTTTTTTACACTGACGGATGATACCATCTGCTCTTCTGGGTCCATTCAGAAATCTGGAGTTGTTTTAAGAATATGAGTTTGCTTTCTCATCATCTGTTGTGTGTGCACGTGTGGGTGTCTGAATCCAGTACACCCAGAAGCTGCGGAGGAAGAAGCAGTCAGCGTGATGTGCTTTCTTCTGAGAGTCCCAAACTACAAGTGCCATCAGTTCTCTGTGCTCTCCAGAGCGCTCTGCCCCATCATGCAGGCAAAGAGCACAAGGGATTTGTGCAAACCATGATGATGACAAACACTAGTTCCTAAGACTGTAATTTATGGCAAGCCTGTCCATCATGGAGCTAACCTGGTGCGGTTATTTCTTGAGACTATAAATGCCTTGACAAAAATATTTTTAAATTTGCTATTCAAATATTCAGAACTATCAACTTAAGAAACCTTGGACTTGAGTTCATTAAGAAAGAAGTACTGAGCTGGTGTGGCTCAAGCAGTGGAGTGGCTGCCTAGCAAACACAAAGCCCTGAGTTCAAGCCCCGTACCACACACACAAAAAGACCTCAACGGGATGTGGAGGTACACGCGTGTAATCCTAGCACTTGTGAGGGTGAGGTAGAAGGATCTTGAGTTTGAGGCCTGGGCTACATAGCAAGACCCTTCTCAGAAAACAAAGAAATATTCTTACATTATTAGGGTTCAAAACTCAGAACTAGAGGGTCTGACCTTCTTTCCACTAGGGAAATAATATAGAATTAGAGCCCTTAAATTTACCTGGTGCCAGTTTCTACCACATGTGGGCTGTGGTAAGACATTAAAATTTCAAACACCTCTGAAGTGATATGTAAGCTCTTGCTAGGACGTGTCTGATAAGGATTATTCAGGGACGAGGGAGCCAATTCTGCCCCATAGGAATTAGGGTATGTGTTGTGTCGCTGAGAAAGCTCAAGGACGTCTGGCCCAGAACACTGAGAAGCACTGTGGTCACATGTAGGTAAACGGATGTTTAAACAAGTTATGTTTCGACTTGATGAAAAGGACATCCATTATTTCCCGCTATAATCCCCAAGGTGAAAATTCTCAGCCCACTACCACGTTCTGTCAAACAATGGCTCCCCTCTGCTCTTGCCTTGGATGAAACCCAAGTAGATATATTCAGAGTCAGCCTCCAGTGAGAGACAAGTCCGTAGGATGCTTTTACATAACTGCTGTTTCTCCTCACTCCCCATTAAAACACACGTGTCCAGGGAAACCCACTAAAGGCTCTGACAGCTTGTACTTACTCTTGTAACACTCAGTCCAACACTCCATCAAAAACCATGGTGAAGTACACAGGTAAGACAGAGGGTTCACTCTAAGTTCAAATCTTAAGTCTCAGCTTTGTTCGTGGTGTTGAATGCCTCTTCAGAAAACTCTTGGCACGACTCGGCCATTTCCCTAGCTGTGACTGTGAACGCCCAGAAGTGAAACCTGCTTCAGTGCAGACTTGTGGGCAGTAGTCACATTGGACCAAGTAGAAAACCCCAGTGTCCATCAGCTGATGAGGACATAAAACAAAATGTGGTCTGTCCACACAGTGGACTGCGACGCAGCCATAGAAAAAAAAAAAGAGAGGGCTGGTCCATGCAACAGGCACACAGGCCGCTACGCCTGGCTATTCATGAGTCCGTAAAACCAACCCATAAAACAGAAACCAGTGGCTACTGGGGGTGGGCTAACAGCAGACCGTGCCAACAGTACTGCTGCGCTGTCAATTCCATTAAGGCTGACGAACTAGGAGTTTGTGAAGGAAAAAGGATCTCTGGCCTGGTACACTTTGTTCAAAACTGTAAGAAGCCCATCCACCTAAAATGACAGACCTCAGCTCAAAAGGGTGACTTTCTGAAACAGGATTTCAGAAAAGCCTGAATAGGTGTGCTCAGAGGTCAAAGGAGAAACTGGACTGAAAATACCGTCCTGTGGTTGAACAGCTGAAGACGTGCATACCAGATGTTATTCAGAAACCAAGCCCATAAACTGAGATTTTTAACCCAGAAAATGCCTAAGAGATTTTCTCAGGGTTACAGAGGTTACCACAAAAGTCTGCTATGTGAAATATAAACCTATTGGGCCACATTCAGCAGTCCACACCTATAGCCCCGGCTGCTATGGAGGCAGAGCTCAGGAGGATCAAAGTTCAAGGATAACCCAGGCAAGAAGTCCACAAGAGCCCATCTCAGTAAACAAGCCAGGCATGATGGTGCTCAACTGTAACCCCAGGCACGGGTAGGAGAGCCGTGGTCAGAGGCCAGCCAAGGCCAAAATGTGAGACCCCACCTGAAACGTAACTAAAGCAAAAAGGAATGGGAGTGCTAGAGCACCTACCCAGCAAGCTCAAGGCCCTGAGTTCAAACCCCAGTACCCCTACCACTCCCCCCAAAAGAAAACAAACAAGAAAAGAAAAGGCCTTGGAAAAGAACTGGAGTGCAGAACTGGGTATCAGCTCAGCAAAGGCGCAGTCCACCAAAACGTCTACCAGAGCAGGGGAGGGCAGCCAGACTCCAATCCCAGCACTACCACCAACCCCACAAAACAAGGGAAGGAGACCTGATGTCTCCACCCTCCCTTTAGTTATAAAATCACTGATAAACAGACAACTGAGTGCTTTCAAACAAAACAAAACCCTTCAGAAAAACATCCGAGCCCAGTAACAGGCACACACGGGAATTTCCTGCCAAATCAAAAGAACATAAAATTGCCCTGTCAGGTACAAGAGGCCCTAGTCCCCATTCCCCCTCTGAAGGTAAGTGCAGCAGTGTGCAGTCAACAAGACACGGGCAGAGGCGATCTACCCAGGTGGTCTTCACCGTCTCCACCATGGGCTGACTTTGGACACCGTGTGTGCTCAATGGCAGAGGCAGCGAGTGAGGGTCTCTGAAGGGTATGTGGTGGACAGAGCAGGGACTCAGTAAGAAGCCATTTCTGTTCTGTTGAGACACTCATCTGTGTCCACACTTAGGTCTACCTCAGCCACCCAACACCTCTAATTCTCTCTCAACCACACTCAGAAACAGAAAAGCTCATTTTTAAGCTCTATCCTTCTGTTCAATAAATTCTGCCTACTATTATTCCAAAGACTTAAGGGATTCGTATCCTAACTAATTTTTCTAGTGAGCCTTCTCAGTTTTGCTGCTATGTTCAACCTGTATTGAATTTCTCCGCAATAATGTAACAAGCGTTAGAATCCCCTGTAGGAATATACATAATTTTGATGTAATACATTAATATTGATCCTGTCCCTCCTAACATAAAAGCAAACCATCAGGTGAAGGAACAGCTGAAACAAAAAAGAAAAATCTTTTTACAGAACTCTGTCCTTCATTCTTTCAACACTTATTATTTAACTAAGCACCTGGGATGCACAAAGTGAACAACAAAACTAAAACCTTTACAGAAACTTGTAGAATCTCCCATTCCAGGAAGAGAGAGACAACCAGGAAATGCAGTCTGTAAGGAGACTACAGAGTGCACTGGAAGTTGCTAACTGCTATGAAAAGAGCAATAAAGGGCTGTGTGGTACAGCACCTGCCTAGCAGGCA